GTTGTACTTTCTATAATACTAAAAAATTATATTTAGTCCCCAAAACCAAATTCAATGTTGAACCTAGTAAAAAAAAATTAAAAATGTATATAAACCTTTTTTGAAATTAAAATATATATTTGATTAAAATTTAAATACGAATTGAACTATACTTTATCTTCTTTATATATGTTTTTAATTTACAAATTCTTATTCATGAATCTAAAAAAATGTTAATTACTGAATTTATTTGAATCACATGATTTTTGGTTAATCGGGTTTAAACGGGTGGTAGAAGTCCGGCGGACTTTAATGTAAACGGACTTTATTTAGATTCACCTCTAAACGGGCCTAAACGGGCTGGACCTAAACGGATTCAGACCTAAACGGGCCGGGCCCGCCTATTTTAACATCTCTAATTATAACCCATGAGGTTATTATTAGACTTAGGATTATGAGAGTATATATTACTCTTAACCTAATTTTTATGCATAGAGAAACTAAGGAAAAAGACACAATTTCCGAAGGAAAAGCAAAGAAAAAACAGTTTTGTTATGTTCATGAAAACGTTTGAAATCTTAAACGTGCTCCAATCTAGCTTAAATTAGTGTGTAGCTTCATGACTTAATGACTTTGAGATTCAACGATGTAGATTGTGTTTCAGCGGTTGGTTTGTCACAGATCAGAGTTTTAGTGGGGATGTTCGCTGAAGTTGTGAGTATAGATTTCAAACTGTGTTGTCTTGAATGTTTGGAAAATCCGACATCGAGTTCTTCTCAGTTTGAACTAAATTTTGCAGTGGTGTTTTTGACTCATTTATCTAGGGTTTCTATGGGAGATTTCTGATCTGGTGACCGTTATTGATGTAACGCCCGTGAACCAAAGAGTAAATTTTTGGTGGTGCGTCGATCAACACAAGGTGTGTGTGTCGATCGGCACACGTGTTTTGGACTTATGAGAAGTCGTGTTCTGGGCGTTGTGTCGATCGACATAGGTAAAATTGGACCGACATGTTCGGTTTTTCGATCGTTCGGTTTGGCAATTGGTTTAGAGAATCTTAGGGTTCCAGTATATAAACGTGGAGCTGCGTTGTCTGTTCTTTTTGGGGCCGAAAACAGAAGAAAAGTAGTGAGAATTGTGAGGATTGAGTTGAAACAGGATTCATTGTTGAATTCTTTGTAATCTCGATCCTTAGAACTTGTTAGAGTGTATTTGTGAAGCTGGGAATCGAATCTTCTGCGTGTTCTTCGTAGAGGAAGAGGAGATTTCAGATTCAGGGAGTGCAGCCTCTGAATTCTGTGGAGTTCTTCGTGTTCTTCGCGACTTTTCATCCTTTTCCTTCCAGATTCGAGGTGAGTGCGTGACCATGGCTTATCTGGGTAAAAAAATTGATAGGATGCGATTGATTGTTGTTTGTGGTTGGATTTCGTGTTGTATTGGTGGATTTTGTGCAGGAGATCGGCGGAAACGCGTCCGGAATCGACCATGAGATAATAGGTTCGATTCTGGGTTTTCTGCGTTTCTGGGTTGT